TACAACAAAAATATAGTCTCAAATATTTAATAAATTCTATACTGTTCTATACTGTTTTGGCTCGCTTTTCAATTATTACTTTGAAAGGCTCTTTAGGAGACAATACTATGTCAAATGTCAATTTTATTTTATCTAATTCAAAATAATTATTGATTTTGAATTTATAAGTACGAATCAACGTTGACAGCATCACCTTCATACATCTTTTTGCATATTCCGCACCTGCAATTTAATAATTAATTAGTTCTACCTACGTAATACTTTGAAACTTATTTATGCCTACCTATACAGTTTCTTGGTCCAGTACTGAAGGGAAGATAACAATCTTTTTTTCTTTCTTCAAGAAATCTGTCAGGATCAAACACCAATGGGTTTGGCCAATACTTTTCGTCTCGGTGCATTTTCATAATTGCTATAATAATATCTGCACCTTTTGGAATTATTACATTCCCTAAAACATGTACTTTTATATTAATAGATTATTATAATTATAACAGAAATAAATAATACAATTTGCCATTAATTATACAATTGGATATATATGTATAATTGACACAACTATATTGCACACAGGAAATTAAAATAGTCTTGGTTTTTTTTTATTATTATGTTTTAATTAAATAATATAATCTTTTTTAAACATTTATAACTGTGCTTGAATACATTTCTTATAAAATATTTAATTATTTTTATAACAAAAATATTCAATCACAATTTCGTTCAATACGAAATTAAGTTAAAGTTAATAAAGATTGATGTGTTGATATCTGCATCTCTAAATCTCAAATTTTATATTATTTCTAAAAAAAAATATTTTTAATAAAAATTAATAATATATATTTGTTTGTTTATAAAAAGTAAACGAACCTATTTTTAAATCTTCTGATGTTTCTCGTCCAATTATAGGAACAGTAGGGAAAATTCTCATTGTTTCCTTAATAACTCGATCCAAATATTGCATTTTTTTCAAATGGTCGTATTTAACTGGTACAGATTTTACAGTTCCAGTGCCATAAATTTCCAATAATTCTTTATATGCTTTTTCCTTTTACAATAATAAATGAAATGAATACTCATTTATATAAATGTATGCAAAATAATACATCATAGATTTTTTTATCAATTGTGATTGAAATTTGATTTTATTCTTATTGTTAATCATAATCGAAGCGTCGGTAATAATCTCAATCTAGATATTTGTAAAATTGTATAAAAATTGTTACCTTAAATAAAAAGTTGCACATATTGTGACACGTATTTAAAAAATAATGTTTCTATATAATGTATCTATATAAAATGTAACTTAAATTGTCACTAATTACATAGCATTATTCTTTGTAAAAAACTGAATCAAAAAGTAATAAACGATTTTTTTCTGTAATGACATTTCTGTAATGATGATTAATATAGCGATCACTATTGTAGTAATTACTATTTCGTTGTCATTCATTCAGCATCGTACAGAAAAAAGGTTTACGTTCAACTTCTTGTTTCAATTTTTTATAAGGAATAGCGCTACATTTATTAGTATTATTTAAGTATATAAGAGATATTTTTGTCTACAATGCTTAATTAAACAATATATTTAATGCTGCACTAGTAATTGCTTTATTTAGAACTGTAGAAAAAAACAATTTTGACTGAATTTTTGCTTAGTATTTCACAAAAAATAACGCTAATTATTGGACAGTATTTAAGTTATATTTTTTATAGTTTAATACTAATTAACATATTATAAGATATTTAAAAAAAAATTTATATAAATCAAATATAAAATATATTGTTAAATCCATATTTTTATAATGTTTCGATAAAAATAAATTATAATGTTTAGATAAAAATAAAATAATGTTAAAATTATTACAACATATATGATATAATATAAGTTAGAAAAGAATCTTTCTGACTATTACAATAAAATATATCTTTCGCAATTTTAAACTTGTAAATTATGTCGTTTACAACGCTTCGTTTACTTAACTATAGTAAATTAAATTGTTTTGGAATAAATATATACATACCTGTATATCGGGGAAATTTGCCAATACAAAAATAACAAAATTTATCGTAGTACTGATTGTGTCACTACCCTACATAAAAATTTATTTTAATATACATATATGTTTAGAATTGCGATTATATTTATATTGTTATACATACCGTTATTATCATTGTCAGTATATTATCGCAAATTTCCTCTCGCGTATAAATTTCTTCACGGTATGCGTCTAATTGTATATCAAAAAATGTTGTATCTATATAATATAACAAATATAACAAAAAATATATTATATAAATTAAAAAGGAGAAATGAAGAAAATGGGAGCAACCTCCAATGGTCTTGACCTTGTCATATGTTGTCATGGTCATGATTCTGAACAATATTCAAGAGGTTTGAGCCGTTGGTCATAATTTGCTAAAAAGTTACTAACAAAGAAATGTTTATGATATAAAGAGTAAATTTTTCGCTTTATACAGTTAGTTCCAAGTGATTTTTGACTGATTTGGATTTGTTTCACGTGGATTTTCATGCAAAACAAGGTCCATTTTACCCTTGCCCATTCCTCTCCTTTCTGCTTATGGGACTTTGCGTGAGGAATGTACATGCGTTCTATACAAAGCAACATCAGCACTAATAATGTGATATACTGAAATACATTATCTACTATTTGTTTGGATACGTTCTTAATCAAATTCTTTAGCTAGCCATATTCAGTACATGTTCGGCAGTAAGTCAGATAACATTTCACTATTTCAAAACATTTTTGCAAAAATTCAATATGCATTTTCATGAGTTCATCATAGAGGTGTACGAATAGTTCATATTCGAATCGAATCGAATCAGTGAATTCGATTCGAGTTTGTAAGATTCGAAATAAAATAGTTCGAGAATTTCGAATCAATCGCCTATCTTATTTAATTGCTTTATTTATATCTCCCGCGTGATTAATTATTTTTATATAATAAATAATTAAGCATTTTTTATGTATGTGGTCTATGTAGATTAATAATGTTTTCGAAAGGATTCTAAAAAAAACTATTCTTGTATATGCATATTATTAGTTACATATTTTCTATAGTTTATAATATCATGTAAGATCACGATTCTTCGTAATGAGATGTAAATCGAAAACAGGTCTTCAGTTTGTTCAAATCATTGCGTAAAATAATGTAATTTATAAATTCAAAATTTATTTATTTCTAATTGAAGAGATTTGATTCGACAAATGAAAATGTGAAAATTTCAGATTCGATTTTATTCAATTTCGAACATATCAAAAATTCGATTTGATTCGAGCCATACAAATGCTTGATTCGCACACCTCTAGTTTATTAATATGACCTACATTTCGATTATTTGTACAACTTTTTATGTGAAAAGAAAGTTGTGCGTAGTGAAGTAATATGTCTAAGGTGTCAAAATTGAGATTATGTAATTATGTTAAATTACATACATATATTTCGCTATGGAAATATACACTATAAAATTATTAAAAATCGAAAGTGTTATAGAATGATATGCAATTTTAGAATCAGTGCGTACTATACGGAACCATGGTTTGAACGAGCGCATTTAAATCTTACTAAGATCGGAAGAGCAC